GGTACACTAGTTAAAGTCGTTTCTGCAAGAACTTCATGTCTGGTTACTCGACAAATGTTCTCTGGTGTAGTGTCCCAGACAACATACCTCAAGGACACAATATCTCACGGTCAGAGTACCTTAGGACATTATTTATATGCCTCTGGGACGGACCACCCCATCATAGATACGCCACTGCTCTACACTTGCAGGTAAGTATGGTCAAGGGCGTGTCTAGAACATGCAGTAGAAGACGTCACGTTTACAAGCAAGAGGACTGCTGTACTGGTGAATACCTGGCAACAATTATCTCGCACGAAATAACCAATTATTATTTTTTTTTGAAGTCTTAACTGGCAAACTGGCCTGACACTAGGTAAACATTGGGGCTAACAGGAAGTTTAATTTCCCGCTCAAATCTAACGGGTCCCGTGTTTGATGTGACGCTTGTCTTTGTTTTAGTGATACGTTCACACGTCAACGCCTTCTGTAGGTGGCTGGGCATCTTACACAAGTACAGCGATATATAGTGAGGAAGACAGGCCTGTGGTGATATTAACCAGGTATATAGAATATAGAGGATCACGCACATGACGTGGATACAGGGCCGGCGCTACCTATAAGGCGAACTAGGCGGTCGCCTAGGGTGCCACCCCTGAGGGGGTGCAAAAGGTTTAATCGCTATTATCAAAAAGTATCTAAAGGAGTAGCGATCTATTGGTAGAACCCAGGACTAACTATCAATTTTGCACTCCCACCCCAAAATTAGGTTTATAGAGGCCTATATTTATTCGCGATGGTGAAAATGCAACCCCACATCACTAATTTGGAACAGTCGGGGCGCTTTTTACCAGTCACTTTGTCTTTTTAATTAGGTGTCACCTAATTGATTTCGAAAACAATTAAATACGTTCGTTATTTAAATTTCGAACATTTCAAACGGTTATTTAATTTTAATAGGGCTTGTAAGTCTCGGTTTCTCTGACTTTGAATAAGAAATATATCCTGAGTTTTGTAATGACGGGGTGTTCAAAGTATTGTACTTGTTTGGTAAGTTTTGTTGAATAGTTTAGATTTGGGAGTAACGGCGGAAATCTGTTGCTGGTATGATTTCGTAGGTATAAAGTATCGAAGTGTTAAAGTGTCATAGTTTTTATTCGGCTGTTGTAGTTGTAGGTCTAGTGGAATCTGATTGGTAGTAGAGAAATGATAATGCAGGTGATGAAGTATCGTAGTTCTAGAGTTCGGGAGTATTGATTCTTGTGGTATTAAGGTATCGAATTATATTGACTGTTAAAGTGTAGTAGTAGGTCAGAGGCGTATCTAGGTTTTGGTTGTAGGGGGAGCGGATTTAGCAAAAAAAGGCGCCGAATTTGTAATATTTTCTATATAAGTATATATATATATATATATATATATATATATATATATATATATATATATATATATATATATATATATATATATATTAGCTGTATGTTATTGCTTCGATATGATGTAAAATAAATTTAAAGTAGCTCTCTGAAGAAATTAAAAAAACACACAATGTAGGCCGACGAAACAAACAAAAATGGTATCACTCTAAATATATATATATATATATATATATATATATATATATATATATATATATATATATATATATATATATATATATATATATATATATATATATATATATAAACACACTACAACCAAAAACAATGAACGCGGCATAATCTGTTTCGTTATTCTTGTAAAAAAATTACATAATAATTCCTGGGACATCTATTAAGACTAGCGAAAAGGGGAAATAATCAATATCTTAATATAAATATGTATATGTCTACACATTTTATTATAAATATCAAAACAAATCAATAATTACTTTAGAATCTAATAAAGTAGCTTTACACTATTCGATTTTACAAAAATAATTTGTCTACAATCAGAATTAAATATATTGTCATTATAAATGCTAAAGTATTACACCATAATGAAAGTTTTTAAAAATCAGAGTTGGTATAAAAGCCAGCTTTTCAATGTACTTGTAACACATTCGTAATAATACCCTACATATAACTAAAATATCGGTCTTACATTTCAGATCATGCACTTTTTAATTAGCAATTGACTTTTTGTGTTCTTTAAAGATAATTTTTTAACATAATGAGAAGGTGTGAGTTAGATCACTGTATTGCTCACACACCTATTACTGGTAATTGCAAAAACAATATTCACAGAGATTTACGTTTCAAATGTGCCGACCAAAGATAATTTTTTAACAAATATCAATGTTTAAAACTGAGTTTAAAAAGTTTCCAAAAAGGCGCCACTTTGCTAAAAATGGCCAGAGGGGGAGCGGCCGCTCCCCCTGCTCCCCCCCCCCCCCCCCCCCCCCCGCGTACGCTACTGTAGTAGGTACAGTGAAATCGTTGCTGATTGGGAGTATCGTTTGTAGAGCTTGGTGAAGTTAAACGAGTTGGTGTCGTAGTTCTGGAGCATCGAGTCTAGTTATGTTTAGGTATCGAAGTATAATATGTGTTGTGAATGTAGTAGAATATATTGAGTAGTCGAGTTTGTAGTAAGTAAGTTTATTTCAATCAGTACGGAACACACTACAGAGAAAGGTAGGCGTTCTCTAGATGAAAAATCTTTAGTTTTTTTAGAAATCTATATTACCACTCTTAAAGTATTAATATATAATATTAAATAGGATGGAATTTATAACTAACCTAAACTTTGTTATTTCAAATTATAACTTTTTATATTTAATCAATAATCCTTGCAACAGCTAAAACAGTCACCCGAGTTTGATTTTTTGAAAGGCGTCCCTTTATTTAAGGGATCAAAAATTTTAAATCATTAATTATTGTAAGAGATGCAATTGTAGGAATGTCATGGAAATTTTATGGAAGTATGTTGTAATAAAGCTATGGTTTTTAGACTTTTAAACAAAACCCACAGTTAAGTATTCAATAGGTAAAATATATTGTTTTTACAAGGTTACATAGCTAATATAAAAGATTTGTTATAATTATTACGTAATGAATTTTAGATAGTTTTTTGTGAATTTTAAGCATGTTTTAGTTACACTTGGTAAATTTAGCTATTCTTGTGAAAGTTATTTCTCTTGAATAAAATTTTGGTATTTGGATTGTTTAAATGGGAGATAATTCGTTGCTTAACTTTACATTCATTTCAAATTCCTGCACCTTAGGATGACCGCTTACATATAAATACAACTTAAAGTTAGTGGCGTAGCGAGGTCGGGTGTCACCCGGTGCGGCACTTAATGGTGTCACCCCTTCCCGGGGACAAACTTTCAATTTTCGATTTGCACCCTTCCCCCCCTCAAACTTTCGTTTTGCACCCCCCCCCCTCAAACTTTCGATTTGCACCCCCTCAAAATTTTCTCTATATATTTTGCTATTTTTTGCCTTGGTGTCACCCCCCTAAATGGTGTCACCCGGTGCGGTCCACCCCCCCCCCTTGCTACGCCTCTGCTTTAAGTTATTATTTGCTATTGTAAAAATTATATAGAGCTTAAGTTCTAAACAAAATAGTTTGGTAGGTTCCTTTTAGCATTATCAAGTTGAACCCAACACTACATGAACATTTTTATTTAATTCAGTGGTTTTTTCCAGACTTTTTTCTCCCGGGAGGGGGGGAGAGCACTTAAAATTTTCTAAGTGGGGAGGGAGGGGGGATATGTTTTAAAGTACAAAGTAGACTCGTGCACTTGGCAACAATTTCAATAAAATGTGATTACGCATGCAAACTGGAATTGAGACGAAGGAAGCAAGCAAAATATGATTTTGATGTTTGCTTATAACGTGTATGCAATTGATAATAAATTAATATGTCACTTTTAATTAATTGTTTTCTTAGACATATGTTTCAGTAATTAATTTGTGTGAGGGGGGGGCGTTTTATTAAGTTTTGCCTAGGGCGCTAAATAACCTGGCGCCGGCACTGGGTGTATAAGATGACTGGGTTAGGGGTGACACCGATTTGTTAAATTTTGCTATTTTGGGTAAGGTGGTGGTTTAGAAAAAAAATGTTTTCTACGAGCCTGTAATTTTCTTTATTCTTTTTATTATGAATGGCTGGATGAATAGATCAACAGAATATGCGGTGATAAAACGGCCCCGACATATCGACACTGTCAAAAGGGCCATCGACACTGTCAAAAGGGCCATTGACACTGTCAAAAGGGCCATCGACACTGACAAAAGGGCCATCGACACTGTCAAAAGGGCCATCGACACTGTCAAAAGGGCCATTGACACTGACAAAAAGGCCATCGACACGGCTCACGTGATTTTCATGCACGAGGCTGATAATGTCAGTATTATGTTCTCCAACAAACAAACCAAAACATGGGGTGGGGGGAGGGGGGGGTAGGATTGTTGTGGTAAACTAATAATAATTGATCATATCAACACTCCCCAAAACCTTGTCCCTACATTCTAAGGTAAAAAGATACTACTACTGTGGATACTAACAATTACATCCAAAAACTTTACCGAATAGGCATGAAATCTATGGCAAGTTTTTCAAGTCTAATGTACATTGTTGGACACAGGTAGGAGAATTGACTTGATGCTCTTTTTTATGGAATAAATGCACCATTGTATAGAGAAATGTGAGTGTGTGTGTGTGTGTGAATGTGGGGTGGGGGTGTGGGGATGGATGTATAGATTCGGGAGTGGGTGGGGATGAGTATGGTTGTATAGATTCGGGGGTGGGTGGGATGGGGATGGATGTACAGATTCAACAAAGACTTGCTCAACATTATAGACTCGGTCGTCGGGTGTGATGTCTTCCTCCCAGCCTGGGGGTAGTGTGTGTGTGGGGGGGGGTGTATGTGGGGTGGGGGGGATGGATGTACAGATTCAACAAAGACTTGCTCAACATTATAGACTCGGTCGTCGGGTGTGATGTCTTCCTCCCAGCCTGGGGGTAGTGTGTGTGTGGGGGGGGGGGGGTGTATGTGGGGTGGGGGGGGGGATGGATGTACAGATTCAACAAAGACTTACTCAACATAATAGACTCGGCCGTCGGGTGTGATGTCTTCCTCCCAGCCTGGGGGCAGATCTGAAACAAGAAAACAACATCCGGTCAAAACGTTTGACATTGAGACCTCAAGCTGGGCGTACCACTAGTGGAGGAGTTGTGCGAATCTCATGGTATTAATTTGCACGGCTACAACTCCTTAAAGACACTGTACATCTACAACTCCGCAAAGACACTGTACATCAACAATTCCTCATAGAAATGTGCACATCTACAACTCTCCTGAAAGAAATGTGTACAGCTCGTGTAAAGGCGTACAACTACACTTGATAACACCTACAGAAAGTTGTCCATGTACAATAATTAACGTATCCAACACAGTATAATCCAAGCAGGCAGTATAATCCAAGCAGGCAGGCTGTCACCAACGAACGAAACTAATATCACTCACTCCAACTGGCACGTTAGCCTAGTTAGTAGTTACGTGTACTGCGCAATCTGATCTTGATCTATACCGTAATCAAAGCGCTCAATGCGCATTTTCAACGAGAAACAGCACTGTATTTTATAGACAACAATAAACTAGCAAGGCGGGCGTTGTATGGTAATTACGGAATATTTCTAAACACTCAGTCATCTAGCCAGAAGTTTTACGATGACACACACGGGTCTCACCTGAGAGGAACATGCTGATAAAAATACAAAACAACCTCTGACTGACACTAACACCGCGTCACGAATACTAGCAGGTTAGGCCCGGGCGTAGGAAAGTTGCGCGGGCCCACACATCTATTCTCGTCTGCTCATCACAATTCTGGCTGGGGTTCACCAATGGCCGAATGTTTCGTTGACTAAAAACACGGGGGACAATCGCCTGTTTTATTGGCGGAGCGGTGGGGGGGGGGGGGGGGGGGGGTATAATGTAAATATGCGTAACGTAATTTTAGCTCGGTCCATTAGCGGTCATATTTTCCCACACCCAAAAAATATTTTAATGATTTGCATTATCCAATTAGGTATTCCCGTATCATTTTTTTTTACAAATAAATCGTTCTGTACTGACAGTTAACCCTAACCAATACATTGGTTAAATACATTGGAAAGTCTACCGCCCCCCCCCCCCCCCCCCCCGAACGAAATGCAATTTATATAGAAAATATATACTTTTAACAGTGACCGCCTCCCCCTCCGCTGGAAATTTGGAAAAGTAGTCCACCCCCCCCCCCCCGAGAAAAAAAGTCTGGAGAAACACTGTACACGACATTCTCCAGAAGCCCAACTATTGCCCGTTGGTTCTACAGGACAGGGTTGTACAAAAGTGAGACCCGATAAATTGGAAGAATAAATGCATGAGTAGGACTCTACAAAACAAAACAAAACTGACGACATTAATTAAACCGATAAAATAAAATGTCAAAAACAGAATAATTATTGAACTTGAGTTAAGTCAATGAAGAACAAAATCAATAACAATACACGATAAAAAAAGTGGACAAATTGACCGAACAATAAACACAAGTTCGAGTCAATGAAGAACAAAATCAATAGCAATACACGATAAAAAGAGGACAAATTGACCGAACAATGAACACAAGTTCGAGTCGATGAAGAACAAAATCAATAGCAATACACGATAAAAAGAGGACAAATTGACCGAACAATGAACACAAGTTCGAGTCGATGACTATACCGTTAAGCCAAATCTGCACCTTTATTGATCATGTGTATTATATTCATCGAACATCACCCACAACCCCCCAATCCCCTCGAATCATGTGTATTATATTCAGCGAGCATCGCCCCCCCCCCCCCCACACACACACCTCCAAAGCCATAAAGTCACACAATGACACAGACTATTTACTTTTTTTTGCGACGATCTGCCAAGACAAGGATTGCGATGACCGTCATGTGTCAAACATCTTCAAACGAGGCTGTCAATCCCAGTCTCCCCTAGCGGCGGCCTCCTGACGATCGACTCAATCGGCCATCTAGCGGAACATGAAGATATCAACGCCACTAAACCGTTCACTTCAAAGCATTGATCAGCTAGCAGGGGATGAGAGGTTTTTTTTCTTCCCACGGGGACAGAGGCGTAGCGAGGGGGGGGGCGGGGGGGGGGGGACATATGTCCCCGGGCGCCGACCTTAGGGGGGGGGCGCCAAATTGAAAGTTTGAGGGGGGGGGGGTGCAAATAAAAAGTTCGAGGGGGGTGCAAATCGAAAGTTTGAGGGGGGGGGGTGCAAATGAAAAGTTCGAGGGGGGGGGGGTGCAAATCGAAAATTTGCTCCCGAGGGGGGCGCCAAATTGAAAGTATGTCCCCGGGCGCCGGGAAGGGTCGCTACGCCTCTGCACGGGGAACATTTCAAATATTAAAAAAGAGCTTTCGAACAGTGACAGATACCAGCATCTAGCCCCTCTTTTGACTTTTTGTTTACATTTTTCTTCATTCCTGTGTACGGCATTTAAAGTATTTTTTTTTTAAATCCTTATACATCGGTGTTATTTTATTTCGTCAAAAAAGGTTTAACAAAACATATAATTGAAAAGAAAACTTAGGAAAGAAGTTTGATGTAGATTTTCCTACGGCAAAAAGTTTCAGCCAAAAATAAATTATTCGTACACTAAATTTGTCTTCCATGCTATGATTATAGATCCGCACGCACTGAAAAGCACACAGAGATCATAATTTTCTAAAACATCATAAAGAAAATGAAAAAAATATTATTTAACTATTTTTATGTTGATACGTTTTGTACACATTATTTCCATCGAATTGGTCCATCCCTAGCCGTCTTAACCCCGGACAAAATTGTGGGAAAATGTACATAACGTAAACGTTAACCCAGTGGCGTCGCAAGGTCGGGTGTTACCCGGTGCGGCAACCAATGGTGTCAACCCCCCCCCCCCCCCGAAAGAATTATATATATATATATATATATATATATATATATATATATATATATATATATATATATAACAAACGCTTTTTCCTCAGGCAAAAGTTACGTTTACTTGGTGTCACCCCCCCCCTCTCTCCCCCCCCCCCCCCCCCCCCGTGATAGCTTTAAACTGTGCACAGATGATACTAAAGTAGTATATTAGGTCCCTTTTGGGTCGTATGGGTGAGGGGGATGCGGATGCGGATGCGGATGCGGAACAAAGGCTATATAGGAAAATACTCGGATGCGGATGTACAATGACATATAGCAAAATACTCACCCACCTGGGTGGAGTGGGTGATGCGGATGTACAACGACATATAGTAAAATACTCCCTGGGTGATGCGGAGGTACACCGACATATAGTAAAATACTCACCCACCTGGGTGAGGGTGGGTGAGCAGGATGTACAATGAGATATAGTAAAATACTCACCCACCTGGGTGAAGGTGGGTGAGGGTGGGTGAGCAGGATGTACAATGAGATATAGTAAAATACTCACCCACCCTAGGGTGGGGGATGCGGATGCGGAGTAGGTCAGTAGGTCACCTTTTGGTGACCTTGTGACGTAATCATTGACCTAGTTACGTAATTTTAATGAGTTTTTAATGAGTTTGAATTTAATTTTTAAATTTTAATTAATTTTTGACCTAGTTACGTAATTTTAATGCGTTTTTTAATGAGATTTAATGAGTTTTTAAAGTTTTAATTAATTTTTGCCCTAGTTACGTAATTTTAATGTGTTTTTTTATTAGTTTTAATGAATTTTTAAAATTTTAATTAATTTTTTATTAACGAGTTACGTAATTTGATTATTTGTTTACTTTTTTAAGTGTTTAATTTGTTTGATTTAAATTGTTTAATTACTTTGTTTATATTGTGTAATTTTTATTAACGAGTTACGTAATTTGATTATTTGTTTACTTTTTAATTATTTTTATTTTGTTTATTTTTAATTTAATTTTATTTTTAATAAGTTTAATTAATTTGATTTTTATTTATTTTGTATCTAGTTACGTAATTTTAATTTTATTTTATAATTCGTTTGAATTTTTATTGACTAGTTATGTAATTTAATTACTTTGATTGTTTAATTAGTTTGTTTACTTGTTGTTTAATTTAATTACTTTGTTTATATTGTGTAATTTTTATTAACGAGTTACGTAATTTGCTTATTTGTTTGAAATTCATTTTAATTAATTTGATTTTAATTACTTTGTTTAATTTATTTATTTGATATATTTCTTTTCTTTGTTGTTTAATTTGTTGGTTTGTTTATTTGGTTGTATGTATGTTTTAAATTCTCCCCTACAACGACCGTGTACAAAAAACAGGTTAAATTCTCCCCTACAACGAACGTTACAAACATAGAACATTCATTAAAGATAACGATTAACAACACCTGGTACTCGCTAAGGGCACCCGACACGTATCGATCCACATGCGATCCTTTGTTCTTGTCAACCACCGTACAAGGGCCAAGTTAATATTGATCGAACCCACTGACCATCAGTATGATGGTCCACCTATGTGTAATTTTTATTAACGAGTTACGTAATTTGATTTTAATTTTTAAAGTTTTAAATTTTTAATTTAATTTTATAATTAGTTTAATTATTATTAACGAGTTACATAATTTGATTTTAATTTTTTTTTTAAATTTTTAAAAAATTTTTTTAAATTATTATTTTTAAATTTTATTTTTAATTGTTGTTTACTTGTTGTTTAATTTAATTACTTTGTATAATTTATTTGTTTGAAATTCATTTTAATTAGTTTGCTTTTAATTTCTTTGTTGTACGCCGTTTGAAATAAAAGACTAACACTAGCGTGTACTAGAAAGTGTCATTGTGTATAACATCCATTTAACCACAGCTGTTACTTATTAGCGACAGCTTGTACTTATCGATCCGCCCGTGAGCCTCCCCGGCGCTCCCCGTGGTTGCTTAATAGCGGACTCACTGAAGCGATCACAACAGGTAATTAATCGAAACCATTAAGTCCCTCTCCGCGTTAAGTGTGGCGACAGCTGGTGCTGTAATTAGTCACGGCTCTCGGCTTTTTTCATTAGACTACAGCTGTACATGAACTATGTTCACATATCGTACGCCCGGTCATTCTTTGATCAAATTAAAAAAT